CAGCTTTGACGGACTGGAGCATACAATATTTGAAAATCGAATTGACATGTGTTTGGGTCAGAAATGTTAGTGGAAAAAAAAAAAAAAAAAAAAACTTTAATGTTTGTATAAGTATAGTGTTTGAATAGTGTACTAGTATAGTTTTAATTTAATATAACTTAATAATTGGGATGGAATAATGGTGTATATTGGATTTTGCAAAGGCTGGTAACTTCGAGGACGAAGTACCTGGGAATCTAGCTCCTGTCGTGCTGATGACCAATACCCCTTGTGTTGATATTGCTAGGGTTAGGTATGATCACAGGTTACCTGATCGTGACTGGTAATGACAATAGCGTGATCATTGATGCATGAATTTAATTTATAGTCTATTTGTAAGTACTGCATAATGCGTGTAACCAGGTAATTAAGTATCCAGATTGATAATCTAATAAAAGTGTATCGATTCCTTTGAAATCGATAATAAGTTTTAGCTTAGTGAAAAACATTCTAAAGGAAAAACTGTGTAGTCAAAATCGTAGTCTATTGGTAGTAGTACCTGGAATGATACTCCAGCCTGTGTGAAAAGCCAAGCGAGTTGAATTGGAAGGCCAAAAGAACAAAGACCCATATAACTGCAATTCTCCGTAACACACAATGAAGTTGTTTTTTCAAATATCATACTATATTATTTTTTATAGAAATCAAATCTATAGAGTATAATATTTTTCTAAAAATTGATCAACTAATGGCTAAATATTTTACTCCTCATATTTTATCTGCAGAATGTTTAGAAATAGCACAATGTCTTTATTTTGTTGCAGATCAACTGCAATTAGATATTATTAAAACATTTAATGAAGTAAATAAATATATAGTGTAATGTGAATATTTAAAGCTAATACTGTATAATCTAACATTTTTATTATTCTTAGGATTTTGATTTAAATTTAACGGATAAGTTTGTTGAGGACTTTTATGATGCCAAGAAAGTTTTGCTAAAGTCAATGATTACTGAAGTTGGCAAAAATAATATTCAAGAAGTGTGGAAAATTACAGACATACGATCTGAAAACAGTAAATACATACATTTTGTAGTACATCAGCAAAATTTAAAAGGTGCTATATATCGATAGTAATCCCCTAGATTACAATCGATATACAACCCCCCT